CTATGTAATTTATTTCAGAAACACTTTTTGTTATATTCCATGGAATGCTCTTAACATCCCGATAGCAATGAATATATTAAATGCTTTGACAATAAATACATAAAAAAATGTCATCTGTGGAAGCCGTGGCGCTGTAAAAAGCACGACCAATCATCTGAGCCGGCCCGGCTAAAATAACTGGATGGCCTACCTGCCTGTCAGCCTTCCATCTGTGCACACACTTATCTCGTGCCCTCATTGGTCAAGTGCGTGTTTGTGTGTGTTGGAGGAGGGGCTCTGTAAGGAAGTCTGAAGGAAGAGGCAGATTTTTTCCAGCTGTGTATTTTCAAATTCGAGTGCACTCGAGCTGGTTTCTCCAAAATTACCTACCCCACCTTTAATAAATCCTAACAGTTATCATCATGTCAACTACAACACAGAGAAATACTGATAGAAATGTGTGTGTAGTTGTTGATACATTGCTGACAGAGGGAACTAAATTTGAATACAGATTTAAAAATATCAGTTTTTGAGCATGTAATAAGCATGTTTTGTCTTGACTATATTACAACTATATTATAATAACCTCATCCCACAATGTCGCTTGGGGCCCCAAGTTGGCCAGGGACAGCCAACCTGTCAGTATAATAATAATACATTATATTTTTATAGGGATTTTCAAGAACTCAAAATCGCTTTACAATATAAGGGAAGGTTAGGGTGGGGGGTATAGGACTATCAAACTTCATCAACCGGCATGGATTGATGGGGGGTGGGCTATGAGTAGACAAGAGGAGAAGAGATGAGTTTTGAAAAGGGAATGGAATACTGTGAGGGTTTCAGAATAGCAGAGATCTTTGGGACAATATGTTCAAAACTTTTTTTTCAAAATGTAAAAAAAATATCTAAAATTATAAATAGTGAAAAAATCAATATAAAATATTTCCAGTGTGAACCAAAATATAATACAAGTGATTTTTCTTAACCAAAATGACAAAATTGGCATACAAATATTTTATATAATAATAGGGTCCTTTTTTTACCCACTTATGGAAGAGTGTAGGTTCCAGTGACTCGTGCATCTAAGGGTTAAGTACACTTTTGAGGTACTTTATACTTTACTACATTTTGGAGGCAATTTTGTACTTTTTACTCCACTACTATTTATTTTACAAATGTTGTTACCTGCTACTTTGCAGGTATGAATTTAAAATACAGAATATAAATCAACCAAAAGAATCATGATTTGTTGTAATGATTATTAGAGGTTAAGCAACACAGCAGTGTATCAAGTAATTTAAATAACCCCCACCTTTACCAAGTGAAGATTGACATTAATGCAATAATAATTATAATATTTTTAAATCTGATGTGGGCCATACCGGAACATTTGTACTTTTTGTACTTGAAGTGTATTGAGATACCAATACTTTTGCACTTTTACTTTACAATTGTGTAGTACTTCTTCCACCTCTGATAAAATTGTAAAACTGGAGTAAGGGAAGCATGAGTGAAGTTGCTTCCCTTTAGTTACGTTGGTTACGTTGGTTACGTAATTTATGTCAGTTACGTTAGCAAGAACCGTTCCTAACTGACGGATCGTTGACGGTTCGCGCATGAAACCCAGCGGCTGTCGTCAACGCTGCTGGAGACCTATGCTGGAGACCCACCGACACTGAGGGGTGAGGAAATATCACTCAATAACGTCTGATAGTCATGTTAATACAACACCGTAAAGACAAGATAATGCTGTTTGTTGTTGTGTAGTTAAATCTAATGTTGTCGTTAGCTTCGTGGCTAGCTAACGACAATACGGTGACGTCACAGACCGCGGCCTACTAGCCTCTGTGATTGACAGCTTGTCAACTAACAAGGTGGTTTTATGAAGCTCTGTGTGACTGTCATTACCTGTGGTTTTAAAAAGTGTTTGTTTTGAGCTGAAATGGCTTCATAATGGCGTGTGTGTTGACTGTGTTGTGTTAGCATAGAGCAGTTAGCGGTGGTGAGTCAACATCAGCATCCACAGAGAGAGGCTCCTCTTCGGCCTGCTGCTGCGGAGGAGGACCAGCCCCACAAACTGCAACATTACACAGCTATTCCTCCACCATAACATTCCTTTATTAACCTTTCGCTAACGTTAATAGGTGTGTTACATGCATAGGTGTTGAATGCAACATCCAGTCTGATGTATGACAGTCATTTTCAGCTAAATGTGTTATATTTCTGCTCCTTGAATCGGTTGCATGAACACATTTAGCTGAAAATGACATTTCAAGATTCAAGATTCAAGCCTTTTATTGTCATTTGAGCATAGCTACAGTGTAGTTATGACAATGAAAATATTAGGTCACAGGCTCCTCCAACAGTGCAACACAATACAACAGATAAAATAGTGCAAGTAAATACAAATATAATATAAATAGTGCAGATTAGTCTATACAAGTAATTGGAATATTGTATATATAAATTGTAAAGACATGTAAACAACTGTCATATATCTGACTGGGTATTGGATTATATAGCTATGCATGTCATACACCTATTTACGTTGATCTCAATTCAGAGAGCTACATTTGTCACTTTGCACATGAGATGCATTTATTAACCTTTTGCTAACGTAAATAGGTGTATGACACGCATGGTTGTATTTCAGCTAGATGTGTTCATGCAACCGATACAAGAAGCAATGATGTTGCACTTGACAGTATAAAATTAATTTTGTAGACACAGTATTTAGTGAACACATCATCTCTTACTTGCAAAATGACAAATGTAGCTCTCTTTCCTTGAGAATATGTGTATGACATGCGTAGGTGTAGCATGCATCACCTAGTCTGATGTATGAACGTTGTTTACAAGTCTTTTTCAGCTAAATGTGTTCATGCAACTGATTTGAAATGCCATGATGATGCACTTGACAATATAATATACATTTGCTGTGTGCAATGCTTAGTGAAAACATGATTTCTTACGTGCACTCTTTCTCTGAAGGAGGAAGGTGTTGTTTTCAAGACATCCAGAGGTGACTCTTAAGAGCTTAAAATAGAAATTGCATTGTGCTGTTCAAGTGGAACTGAACACTAAAGTAAACACTTGAATGTGTGCCATCAATAGTTGACATTGGAGCTGCAATGAGTTGTTGATTGACAGAAAGTAATCATTTTTTAATCATTCTTCTTGCAAAAATGGCAACGAATGCTGTTATCAGCTCTCACTTCTGCTTTTCTCTGTTTTATGTCACATTATTCTGGATATCTGTGGGCCTTGGACTACAAAAGACTTTTAAGGGAATAACTTAGACTTTGAAAAACTGGGTGCTGTGTTCTGATATTTTAAGGACAAGTTGATTAGTAAAGAAAAAGATTAATTGATAGTTGCATTTTTGTTTTGAGACAGTACATCATTATTGTGTCTCAGGAGTTTTTCTCTTTAGAGTAGGGCTGCATCTTATTCTTCTAATTATTGATTAATAGAATAGAATAGAATGGGAGGGATGAACCCCTCTTCAATGGGCTCACATGCAGAGCACACAGCACACAGTGAAATGTGTTCTCTGCTTTTAACCCATCCTAGTACCAGGAGTCTATAGCCTCATCCCAATACCCCTCCTCGACTCCT